AAAGGCGTTTACGTATCAGTCCCGGAAATTATTGAAACAACTATAAAATAGATTCGGTCAGCCACTAATATCGACAATAAAGCTGATTATCTATAGTGCCGCTGTTTAGAATGGTCATCTAGGTGAAGCGAATTACGAATCGCTGCCATCGAAGGGAACCGAAATTACAGAACGCTACAAACAACAATTATTGAAACAACTATAAAATAGATTCGGTCAGCCACTAATATCGATAATAAAGCTGATTATCTATAGTGCCACTGTTTAGAATGGTCATCTAGGTGAAGCGAATTACGAATCGCTGCCATCGAAGGGAACCGAAATTACAGAACGCTACAAACAACAATTGATGCAATTGAGTCACGAAAGGACACAATTTAGCAAATGTTAATATAGCCTCGACCAATTATTAATATTAGGTACACTTATAAAGCTAATGCAACTCTTGAAGTATAATGAAATAAACCTATATGTTAAATAATATTCCCTCCGGCATATAACCAACAGAACTGGTATTATTTAGCATCTTGAATGTGTGTAATGCAGCAAATTCGATGGTGTCTAATACCTTGATCAAGGCTGTACATAGTGAATTTTTAGCATGATAAGGTGTACCCTCTCTTCAAAATATTTACGTAAGAAACGTTGCAGCCACAATAACTGCTGCGTGCTGTTCTCCTTGCTGAAAATACAAGACATTACTTTGTTTGAATAAGCCAGTTTTCAATAACTGATAAAGTGTTACTTATTTGAGCAACATTCCCCATCTCACGACTACAGCCATTGTGGTTGATGACAAAGGGAACAGCTACGTTTTCCTTGAGGAAATCGGATTCTACCTACCAGGTGAATAACACTTTCAATAAAGTATCTCTCTTTTTTTATAAAGAACTCTTAATATTAGGTACTTGCATGTATTTCGATAAGCGAGATCTCTTGGCGAAATAGACAAAAGTACTGCAAATGTAGACAGCATTTAAATTCGATGAATTTGACCATTCTCTACATAAAATAACACTTTTTCATTTAGGACTATTGAGTTATCCAGTGTATACAGACACTAATCATGGAATACCCGAAGTTACATTTTCGACATTCCTTACTATTGTTGTCTATTTGAAGAAATCTGCTGCCGAAGCCCATCAAACAAGAGAAATAATACCAGAGAGTAATGGTGATATTGCTCCAACATGACTTAATTGCCGACTTTGGTGTTAACGGCCAAAGAGTGCCTTGGAGGGAAAAAACTTTCAGGAAATGGTAGAATATATTTTGATCAACTTACATTGTAGAAATTTTTCTCGATAAATGCCTGTTTCAAGTCCAAAAATTATCAGAATACATGCAAGCACCTACAAAGGATCAACGGAAATTTATTTATTTAATTCAGCTTTTTCTAATAAAACTTTTCTCAGAAAAAGTTAGAGTTTTTATGCAATGAAACATTTAAAATTCTTCAAAAGTATTATTTAATGTTTAGAAAAATTTCAATCTTGAAATACATATGCATTCTCTTTTCAAATGTTTAGTTCATACAAAGTAACTCTTTCAAGGACAAACTCATAATCGTATATGTGGATATTTAATGCCTGGTTGAATATCAATGTTAGTAAAGTAATTTATCATTAAATATTTTCCGCAATCAAAATTCAGATGAATTTTACTTTTTTTTTCGAATATAAACAGATACTTAAACAAATGTGTTTGCATTTACATAAAGGGCGCACGTTTTATTTTACATATTGGAAGCAAGCACGCGTGCCCGCGTAACCGAATAATGAAATTTATATTTAAAAACGTTTTTTTTTTTCTTTTTTATGAATTGAATTTAATGTTGAAAAGTAAACCATTACTACTATAACGAAATTTTTATCTACAACAACAATATATACCTGACGAGTATATGTTCCGTAAATGGTAAAGTAATTCATCAACTTAATGGTAAAAATACAATATGTTTAGGTATGACACGCGTTTGCCACCCCATCCGCTTGCGTTTCCAATGTTTATAGCCATCATCATCATCATCACCATCATCATAAGCACCAGCAGCGATATCATATATAGTTAACATTATCGTTTACAAGTCTTCAAATGTATTACTATGCATACACCGTACAGAATAATTTGCATGTTTTCAATGTTGTTAGGCACACATTCTAATAATGTTTAGTAAGCAACTTAATTTGTCTATATTTACGTTGACGCCATCTAAAGGGATCCATCTATATATACGTACGTATTCTATATACTAAGCCATAACTAAAACTAAATGCATTTTATATGTAATATGGTATCCCGCCGCACATCCAAAAACCACGAAAATATTGTATTTGTTTAAATGAAATTTCAGCATAATATTAATGCATTCGCTAGTACACTTATCCGTGTATATGGTTACATGTACTTATACATGCTTGTTAAACATTTACAATGTTTATTTATAAACATATGAACATGCATCTATATGCATATATATATATATATATATATATGTATATATCTGTATATATATATATGTATATATCT